ATATATATATATATATATATAATTTTGGTAAAATAGTAAAAATTGACAGAATTTTGAATCATATGATTCAATTAAATAAAGCAGTATTCTTAACCATATGAAATACATTTTTAAAAATTATTTATTCTGGCCAGGCGTGGTGGCTCATGCCTGTAATCCCAGCACTTTGTGAGGCCGAGGCGGGTGGATCACCTGAGGTCAGGAGTTTGAGACCAGCCTGACCAACATGGCAAAACCCCATCTCTACTAAAAATACAAAATTAACCAGGCATAGTGGTGCATGCCTGTAATTCCAGCTACTCAGGAGGCTAAGGCAGGAGAATCGCAGAGGTTGCAGTGAGCCGAGATCACACCATTGCACTCTAGCCTGGGCAACAAGAGCAAAACTCCATCTAAAAAAAAAATTTGTTCTGAGTAGATATTAAAATTAAATTAAGATATTAAAAAAATTAAGATTCAAAAATTAAATCTGTTGTAATAAGATATACATGAGAAGTCTCACTCCAACCCCTTCTGTATCTACTTTGCTATCCCCTACTTTGCTTCCACACAACCCTTGCTTTCTTGTATATCTCCCCAGCTACAAGTAAACACACATATATATTCTAATAATTTTGTCTTTCTAAATTCCATAGAATACCATATATACTATTAACACCTGGCTTTTTTCACTTAATTAAACCCAGTATATTTAGAATACCTAAAAAGTAGAATCTCAAAGTAATGTTGGACCAAAGGATCTTTTAGAGTTACCACTTAAAATAGCCAAAACATTATTAGTTCATAGCCAAAACGTTATTAGGGCAGCCTTTACCTTCAATCTCAACCAGGACAGATTCTGCTAACACATATATTAAATGTAGAATCAATGTCTACTTGTTGCAACTCCCGGGCTTAAGGAGTTCATAGTTTAATAAGGCACAGCCAGGCTAACAGTTCTTATTTGCTGCTGCTCCCTGCTGTATCCTTGACTCCTAGAACAGCAGCCTCTCAATGATTATTAATTGAATGAATGAGTAACTCTCCACAAGGCTCTCTCTTTTTCAGATGAAGACTTCTATGTAAATAGTTTTAGTTCAGATT